TCTTTCCCTCTCACTTTCTCTGCCTCTAGACAAACACACACACCCTAGCAAAAACCTCTTTAAAAAAAATATGGTAGGAATTAATTGAACATTGTTTTGAAACATACCTTCTCCAGCAGTGTAACATTGTTTCTATTTGATGAGGAAGCTGGCTCCAACAAGAAAGAGGCAGGACTAAAAGGAAAAAAGATAAATTCAAGTTTATAGGAAAGTATTCTATTAACTTGATATATACAAACAGTTTAAAGAAACTGTCTGCCCCGTATCTGTCCGTTACGATTTCACTCAATTCGTCCCGGTCATCGAAAGGCAGTTTATTCTAGGGAGGTATAGTGACAATTAGAGCAGTATTTTAGCCCAATTTGTGTATCAGCCTCCCAATTTTGTTCATTTTATTTACCCACTGTGTATTTTTTTAAGTTGATAGGAATTTTAAAGGGATTAGATGACAACACTGAAAAGCCTCAATAAACATTAAAAACAAATACAATGAACTATTGGGTTGTCGGAAAAGTCATGACACATTTTGCATAGAAAAACAAGCAATTAACTATATTCTTACTGATAAGATTATGCTCCTGCAAATAATTATTTAACAACTGCTGAACTACATGCAAAAAAAGGTATTCTTTTATTTTATCAAGTGCAGTCTATTCACATTATATATTACTGATGAAACATTTAATGACAAATATCTATAACAGTGAAAAATCCTGAGTAATAAGATTATTTTCATATCCCAGTAACTCGACTCATCACAAGAATTCCGTTCATCTATCTAGCAGTAATAATCTTTCATACCCCATTAAGCATTTATCTCTTGCCACCAAAAACCTTCTAGTAACCCCCCTCAACATCCCCAAAATTATAATTAATATAAAGTATCAGAGGATCAACAGGAGTGTGGTGGTTGAGGCACAAGACTCCCATACAACCAAAGGAAGCCAAACCAAAATCATAATCAAGATTGGTGGTACCAACTAATACCTCTGCACACTATAAGAACAATTGTGATATGGGAATAAAATAGACAAGCCAATAATTTTATGTATTATCTCATCAATACAATACTAGGTTGTCACAGATTTCATTGTTTTGCTGTAAGTACTCAGGAAAATCAACATTGGGCTAGCCTCATAGGCTAGTGACTAAGGAAGTAAGATCCCAGATGTCAACCACAGTTCAAATCCTGGCCCCAGGGTCTTGAAAAACACACTGAGTGCATGTATGCCCCAAGTCCCAACAGGATGGAGAAATGGAGGAAAAGGATCGCAGTGTGACTACACTGTACTGAAGGATAATTTCCCCCTCCTCCCCCTCTGAACACAAGGACTCTCCAGCAATTTAAAAGAAAAGAAAAAGAAAATCAACATCAAATCCCAATAAAGAATAAAAACAGGACTAGTCAGTGGAACGGTGGTTAAGGCAGCTGAATCTCACATAGTCAAGCTGAAGTCCCAGACCCAGCAACTTGAGAAACACTCTGGGCACTTGTGCATACATACCCAAAATCCTGAAAAAAAGGAGAAATGAAGAGGGGATTGTGATGTGACCATCACCTATGGAGGTGCTTTCTCACTTTCTCTGTCTCTAGGATGAGCACATACCTCCGGCAAATAAAAAGAAGCAAAACAGAATAGATAAAATGAAGAGTGCTTCAGTTCATTAAAAGTTCAAAATTTTCTCTTATAATTTTTTTTTTTTTTTATAATAATTTTATTGGGGCTGGCATGTTGCATGGTGGTTCAGGGCACTGAATTCCCACATGGCTGACTCTGGTTCAAGTCTCGGACCTGGAAGCTTGCTTTCTCACTTTCTCTCTCTCTTTGTCCCTCTCTGGTCAAATTTAAATATATAAATAAAGTTAAATAAAATCATTCTTTTGGGGACTGGCAAGTGGCATGGTAGTTAAGGCACTGGACACTCCCACATGGCCGACCATGGTTCGAGTCCCCGATCTGGTAGCTTATTTTCTCACTTTCCTCTCTCTCTCTCTCTCTGTGTGTGTCTCTCTGGTCAAATTAAAATAAATGAATAAATGAATGAATAAAATTGAATAAAATAATTTTTTAAAAATTTTAAATAATTCTTTTTTATTTAACTTTATTTGTTATTATTTTCCAGTTTGATCAGAGAAAGAGAGAGGGAAAGTGAGAAAGCAAGCCACCAGATTCAGGACTAAACTGTGGTCGACCATGTGAGACTGTAACATCTTAACCACCATGCCACCTGTTGGCCCCTTAGCAGTTGGCATAATGGCTATGTCGCTGGACTCCCATGTAGTCCACGGTTCGAGTCACAGACACAGTGTCTTAAATTCACACCAGGCACGTGTGCAGGTGTGCCCAAGATCCCAAGAGGAGAATGGAGGTGAAAGGACTGTGACATGGCCATCCCCCCAGGGGGTGATTTCTCGCTTTCTGTCTCTCTATCTCTCTCGGTCTTTCTGGCAAGCATACGCACCCTATAGCAAAAACCTCTCAAAAAAAAAAAAGAATAATTCAGAAGTCTTTTAATTAAAAAAAATTTTTTTTAATTATTTATTTTATTTTCTTTATTATAAGTATTTTCAAGTTTGCTATCAGGCATGTGTGCCCAACCAGAGACAGAGAGAGAAAGTAAGAAAACAAGCCAGCAGGTCCAGGACTCAAACCATGGTCAGCATGTGAGAGTCCAGGGCCTTAATCACCATGCCATCTGTGGGCCCCAGTCTCCTAATTTTTGTTTTATCAAATGGTTTATTAGAAATTCCAATATACAAAGGCTCTTCAAAAAGTTTATGTAAAAACTATGCATGGATTTTAAGTATTTTGCATCAAAATAAATTCATACTTTAATTCCACTGTTCTAAAATCTTTTTAAGTCCCCTTCTTTAAAATATACATAAAACATAAAGATGCTCAGGCTGAAATGGGAAAGGGTTGGAATAGCCATAACTAAGTTAAATGCTTTTACAGCATCAGAGGGCACTATAGGATACAAGTTGAAAACTGACTAAAAGATCTCAAAGGTCCCTCAAACTCTTGGATTAAGTCAACAAAGTAGTTTCAAAAAAGCTCATACACACTAAAAGGCAGAAAATTCCCAAACCTGCATTAGATAATTTCTGTGTATTTTTGCTTTAAAAAAAAAAAAAAGATCACCTTCATGAAAGCCACTATTTATTTTTTTCTTATTTAATGATAGAGTGTATGCACACACATGAGAGTGAATCAGAAAGAGAGAGACAGAGAGAAAGAAATGAGCACCTTCCTCAAATTCCGGAACAGTTAGGACCACTGTTAGGTAGTTAGGTCTGGTCACACTGCAGTCCCCTTCTCTAATTCATCAGCCTTTTGGGTCGTGGGCACTCCCAAACGTACCTGGTGTGCTTTCAGGCTGACCAAAATGGAGTGCGGGACCCAACTTCTCTTGAGTAATGCATTACGACTGCACCACAGAGCCAGCACGAAACCCAGAGAAGGCATACACACATAAGAGTACAAGAAAAATAGCACTCCCAGTGGGCCATGGTGAAACTATAATCTCTTTTTTCTCCAATTCTCCATCCCCTTATGATACTGGGCATACACGTACACACACAAACACATGCACCCAGTGTGTTTTATTTTTAAAAAAATATTTAATTTTATTTATTATCATTATTTTTTGATGTGACCAGAGAGAAACAGAGAGAGGAAAAGTGAAAAAGCAAGTCGCCAGATCTAGGACTTGAACCATGGTTGACCGTGTGGGAGTGCAAGTACCTTAACCAGTACCTTAACCACCACACCACCTGCTGGCCCCCCAGTGTGTTTTTCAAGCCATCAGAATCAGTACTCAAACCACGGTCAGCCATGTGTGACCCAGCTCCATATGCGAAGTACTTAACCTCTGTGGTATAGGGCCAGCCCCCAATATTTAGACAAAGAATAGAAGGGGGGGAAAAATCCATGCATCATAAATATTTAATCTTTTCTAAAAATGTAGGTCTGTAGAAATTTACTATCTGAGGGGGCAGGAGGTGGCACTGTGGTTAAGGCACGGGACTCACACAGTAAACCAGTTTGGATTTTTTTTTTTCTTTTTTTTTTTTTTTTTAAGAGGTTTTTGCTATAGGGCACGTGCACTCACCAGATAGAGAGAAACAGAGAGACAGAAAGCGAGAAATCTCCCCCCAGGGGGAATGGCCACGCTGCAATCCCTTCTCCTCCATTCTCCTCTCGGGATCTTGGGCATGCATGCACACGCGCCCAGCGTGAGTTTAAGCCTCTGGGTCCGGGATGCAAACCACGGTCGACTACGTGGGAGTCCAGCAACATAGCCATTGCACTAACTGCTGGTCCCCAGCCGACCAGTTTGAATCCCAGTCATAGCAGCTTGAAAATCATGCCAGGCACATGTGCGTGCATGCCCAAAATCATAAGAGGAGAGTAAAGGAGAAGGGATTATGGCATAACCCCCTGGAGAGAGACTTCTCACTTTCCCTCTCACTGTCTCCCTCTGTCTCCCTTCCTTCCTCCCTCCCTCCCTCCCTCTCTCTCTCTCTCTCTCTCTCTCTGTCTCTCTCTCTTTCTCTCCAGCTAGCACATGCAATATATAGCAAACACCTAAAAAAAAGTGTATATAATATATATACACACTATCTGATTATTAAGGGGTAATTATGCACTATGCCATAGTACAGAAATTTGGAAATTGGCAGGACTAGCAGTTGGCATAATGGCTATGTCGCTGGACTCTCATGTAGTTGACTGTGGTTCGAGTCCTGGACCTGGTGGCTTAAACTCACGCCAGGCACATGTGCATTGCATGTCCAAGATCCCAAGAGAATGAAGGAGCAGCATGGCCATACCCCATGGGAGATGATTTCTCGCTTTCTGTCTCTCTCTGTCTTTCTGGTGAGCACATGTGTCCTATAGCAAAAATCTTCCAAAAAAGAAATTTGGAAATTGGTTTAAGATAGAACTGAAATTAATATATGAATATCAAATTGTTTTACCTGTTAGCTAGATTATGTATGGCTCCCAGGGTATCAGTGTCTCTTCTGAAACCATTTTCTTGGTTATGCTGCTTGGGTGTATCTAAGGAAATAGAGAGATGTATTACTCTAATTATGTTTGTACATTCTTTCTTTGTTTTTATTTTTTTTTTTTTTATTTTTTTTTAACCACAAGGCATGTGCACTTACCAGAGGCAGAGACAGAGGAAAAGTAAGAAAATATACCCCCCCACACAGGGACCAGCAGACAGTGTAATGGCTACATCACTGGACTCCCATGTAGTCAACTGCAGTTCAAGTCTCACACCCAGTGGCTTAAACTCACACTGGGTACATGTGCCTGCGTGCCCAAGATCCCAAGAGGAGAATGGAGGAGAAATGATTGTGGCGTGGCCATCCCCCTGAGGGGTGATTTCTCGATTTCTCACTTTCCATCTCCCTATCTTTCTGGTGAGCACAAGCTTCCTATAGCAAAAACATCTCCAAAAAACACCCCCCTCCCAAATTGGATGACCACACCACAATCTCTTCTCTTCCGTTCTCTTCTCAGGATTCTAAGCACATACACACACACAGGCCTAGGACTTGAACCACAGTCAGCTTTGTGAGAGTCCAGTGCCTTAACCACCATGGCCCCTGCTGACCCCATGTTTTTGCACATTCTAATATTCGAGGATCTCTTGAAATTCGAAAACAAGTTTTAAACACAAGAAAATCAGAATAACATAAACAATAACAGTAAAAGATAACTATTCAATTGTTAAATTTAAAGAGCTATGCAGGAAAGTACTAACAAATTATCTAGTAGAAAGCTTTTACTAAGACTGATAGAACATACTAAAACAAGGAAAAAAAAAAAAACACAGTCCATAATTATCCATGCTTCATGTTTAAGTACACAGATCAGGTGAACCTCATAGCTTAGTGGTCAAGAGAGCCAGGTCTCACATGGCTGTCCCTGGCTACAGTCTTGGCCCCACGGACTTAAAAAACATGTTGGGGGTTCATCCTGCAACATGGTGGTTAAGACAACTGGATCTCATATAGCCAACTGTGTGATGAGTCCCAGACCTAGTGGCTTGAAAAACATGCCAGCCAGGTGTGCATGCATCCCCAAATATCCCAAAGGAAGGAGAAGTAAAGGAAAAGGGATTGCAGTGTGGCCATCCCCCAGGGAATGCTTTCTAATTCCCCTCTGTGTCTTTCTCCAGTGAACACACAAGCCCGCTGGGAAATTAAAGAAAACAAACATGTCAGGAGCATATGCATAAGTGTCCCAAATCCCCAGAGAAATGGAGGAAAAGGGACTGCAATGTGACCACACAGCAATAAAGGTGTATGCTTTCTTCTCTGTTTCCCTCTTCTCTCTCTTTCTCTTTCTCACTCTGTCTCTCTTTGGCAAGTACACACACTCTCTAGCAATTAAAAAAAGTACACACGGGACCAGCAGTTAGTGTAATGGCTATGTCGCTGAACTCCCACGTAGTTGACCGCGGTTCGAGTCCCGGACCCAGTGGCTTAAACTCACATCAGGCACGTGTGCGTGCGTGCCCAAGATCCTGAGAGGAGAATGGAGGAGAAAGGATTGCGGCGTGGCCTTCCCCCCTGGGGGATGATTTCTCGCTTTCTGTGTACACACGGTACCAGCAGTTAGTGTAATGGCTATGTCGCTGAACTCCCACGTAGTTGACCGCGGTTCGAGTCCCGGACCCAGTGGCTTAAACTCACATCAGGCACGTGTGCGTGCGTGCCCAAGATCCTGAGAGGAGAATGGAGGAGAAAGGATTGCGGCGTGGCCTTCCCCCCTGGGGGATGATTTCTCGCTTTCTGTCTCTCTGTCTCTCTCTCTGTCTGTCTGGTGAGCGCACGCGCCCTATAGCAAAAACCTCTCCCCCCCCAAAAAAAAGTACACAGATCATGTAATTACTATATAACTCAGCCAAGATCAAAATTATAAGAACACTTGGCCTATTTCAGTGAAATATTTATGAAATCAATCACCCTACCACAAGGGAACTTCAAAAAAATTGATAGAAAAGTGATATTAAAGTACAAATTTATTTTAGTGCAAAAAATGTTGAGGGCCAGCCCCATAGCCTACTTGCTAAGAGCAAATTTCCACAGGGCTGACCACAGTTCAAATCCCTGACACAGTGGCTTGAAAAACATGCCAAGCTCATGTGTACATCCCCAAAATCCTAAAAAGAGTACCAGCAGTTAGAGTAATGGCTATGTCGCTGGACTCCCATGTCGTCAACTGCAGTTCGAGTCCTAGACCCGGTGGCTTAAACTCACACCAGGCACATGTGCGTGCGTGCCCAAGATCCCAAGAGGAGGATGGAGGAGAACGGACTGCCGTGTGGCCATCCTCCCTGGGGGGGATGATTTCTCACTTTCTGTCTCTCTGTCTCTCTCTTTCTGGTGAGCGCACGCGCCCTATAGCAAAAACCTCTCCAAAAAAAAAAAAAATCCTGAAGAGGGAGAAATGGACAAGAGATTGCAGCATGACATGCCCCATTGGAGGGAGTGCTTTCTCTTTCTCTCTCTGGCGAACACATGAACATTCTGTCAACAAAGATGAAAAGGCAAAATACTGAAAATAATTGGGGGCCAATATATGCTACAATATGGATGAATTTTTTTTTTTTTGAGAGATTTTCACTGTAGGGCGCGTGCACTCGCCAGACAGAGAGAGACATAGAGACAGAAAGCGAGAAATCACCCCCCAGGGGGGATGGTCACGCCGCAATCCCTTCTCCTCCAATATGGATGAATTTTTTAAAACACTATGCAACTTGAAAAGCTATGTGAAAGAAGTCAGACAGAAAAGGCTTCATATTACATAACTCCGTTTATATGAATTATCCAAAATATGCAAATCCATAAAAACATAAAGTACATAAAACAGCCGCCAGGAACTTAGAGAAGGGATAATGTGAAGTGACTGCTTAAAATGGTATAAGGTCTCCTTCTGAGATAATGAAAATGTTCTGGAACTAGGTAGTGCCAATAAGTGCACATCATTATGAATTTACTAAATGCCAGTGATCTATACTTTGCAATAACTAAAATGATGCTTGTTACCCTATGTGCATTTCACCACAATAAAAAATTACTGGGGAACAAAACAAAAATAAAAGAACTATTACAATAATGAGATGAGAAGAAATGATAGGCAAGACATTTGGAAGAGACAAAGATAAATAACCAACCTGGAAGTGAAGCAGGATACTGAAAAAGAATGCTCCTTGTATATACTTCTTCTGAGGCAGGATCAAATGAAAGAGGAGACATGGGTGGTAAAAGATCCACAGCCTAATAAAAATACAGAATATGTTGAGGTGAACACATTCACTAACTACAATAATAAGGCAAAGTTAATCAGCATGGATGATTTTTTTCCTAAAAAATATACAAACATATATCCTATAACTTTTTTTTTTTTTGGAGAGGTTTTTGCTATAGGGTGCGTGCGCTCACCAGATAGAGGGAGAGAGACAGAGAGATAGAAAGCGAGAAATCACCCCTAGAGGGGATGGCCACGCTGCAATCCCTTCTCCTCCATTCTCCTCTTGGGATCTTGGGTGGGCACGCACGCACATGCGTCCAGCGTGAGTTTAAGCCACCGGGTACGGGACTTGAACCACGGTCGACTACATGGGAGTCCAGCAACATAGCCATTACACTAACTGCTGGTCCCTCCTATAACTATTTTTAAACCAAAAAGTACATTCAATATTAGAAACAAGGGGACTATGTTCCCCTCCAACTATGACTCAAATGTCACAGTACCTCATATCAAGAAGAAAATCTCGGGAACCAGCAGTTAGCGTAATGGCTATGTCGCTGGACTCCCACGTAGTCGACCGTGGTTCGCGTCCCGGACCCGGTGGCTTAAAACTCACACCAGGCGTGTGTGTGTGCGTGCCCAAGATCCCGAGAGGAGAATGGAGGAGAAGGGATTGCGGCGTGGCCATCTCCCCTGGGGGGTGATTTCTCGCTTTCTGTCTCTCTGTCTCTGTCTGTCTGGCAAGCACACGCGCCCTATAGCAAAAACCTCTCAAAAAAAAAAAAAAAAAGAAAGAAAATCTCACATTCTTTTTACTACAACCGCTGAATCTAAAAATATTAACTATATGACAGTAACTTAATAAACATTATGTACTCAAAAAAATCACAGAAACCAAAACATTCGAACCTTAGGCTTAGATGCAGAGATGACAAACATACATATGTATAGCATTTCTAGCATTTGTAATAAAACTATTCTCCAAAAGGCAAGTCAGCATTACTTACTGGGGACCAACGTTTAATTAGACTGAAAGGAGACAGACCAAGAAATTCTTTCCATTTTTTATGCCACTCTCCTTGCTTTTCAGCAACAGAATATCTTAGAGCTGTGAGGTCTTCTTTTATTTTGTGTCTATAATTGCATAAAAGTAACTTTATTCAAAACATGAATACACAAAAAAAACTGAGTAAATTTAAAAAAAAAGATAGCTGTAGGAAAAGGTAAGGAAAGTAACTGAAAGATCAACTAATCAGATCAACAGCGCATATATATATTGAATAAACTCTCACACGTGAATATTCAGAACCTGAATTATTTCAAGACCAGAAAACAATCATAAATCTATTATTCCATTTATTTCTAAAATACAGTATTTTCCTGGCTCAAAAGTCACTTGGAATTCTGCTCCCTCTTCTCTGCCATTCCTAAAGGCAGCTCATATCTCCCAATCTTTCTGCTCATAAAACTTTCCTGAGACCCAGTTTGCTTTTAGGCCAAACTAAAGAAAATCTAGAGAAAAGTGGAAATTGTTTCATAAAAAAGTTATCAGGACCAGAAGATGGCATAATGGTTACATTACTGGACTCCCACATAGTCAACCACAGTTCAAGTCCCAGTTCTGGTGGCTTAAAATTCACATTAGATGTGTGTGCATGCGTGTCCAAGATTCCGAGAGAATGGAGAAGGGATTGCTGTGTGGCCATCTCCCCTGGGGGGTGATTTCTGGCTTTCTGTCTCTCTGTCTCTCTCTCTCCAGCAAGCACACATGCCCTATTACAAAAATCTCTCTAAAAAAAAGTTATTCGGGGCAAGTAATTTATTCCAAACAATGAGAAAATCACATTAATTTTCCTTTTTACATCATGTGTCTCTCCTAGAGTTGATTATATAAAAGCTTTGCATACTAGTAAAGTTTTTATATTTGTCTTAAAGCTATACAAGAGTTTTGCTGAGAAATCAATACCACCCTACTCCTCCCATAGTAAAATAGCAGAAGATCTTTCTAGTGTACCTCATATGCTTCAGATCTGATAATCTTTCCTTCTGAAATTTGGTTTCTTTTTCAAGGTAGTGAAGATCTATTGTCAATCTTGCTTGGTCAGCCTGACAACGTTCATATTTCATTACCTTCAAGACTTCATTTAATAACTGAATAACTGTTAAGAGGTTCAATTTTCCAGCCTCATAAACATTTCCTATGTGCAACTAAAGATTCAGAGGGGAAAAATGTAGTGAACTACAGTTGCTTAAGATAAGCTGTTACAGAAGTACATTTATGGTTTTTACTATTAGATAAAATGTTTAGCTTAAAGAGGAGTAAAAAAAAAAAAAAAATCAAACATTTGTTAATAAAACTATGCAAATAAATTTGGCCCAGTAAAACCGACTGTAGAATTTACATGTCATGCTACATGTTTATATTATGTAAAAGATTGGAAACTGAATTTTAAAATGTAAATAGAAAGCAAGATAGAGATTGAGCAGAAAGAATAGTTTGAGAAAAGAACATGAACTTTAACAAAAGTTACAGATCAATGAATCCTAAAATCTGCATCCATACTTGGATATGTTTATTTGGCCTCACAGTTCAAGTGCTTAAAATCATTTGAGGAGACCACCATGTGGTATGGTGGCCAAGGTGCTGGACACTTACACATGGCCGACTATGGTTCGAGTCCTGGACATGGTGGCTTGCTTTCTCACTTTCTCTCTCTCTGTCTCTCTCTCTGGTCAAATTAAAATAAATGAATAAATCGGGACCAGCAGTTAGCGTAATGGCTATGTCGCTGGACTCCCACGTAGTCGACCGCGGTTTGTGTCCCAGACTGGTGGCTTAAGACTCACGCTGGTCGCGTGTGCGTGTGTGCCCAAGATCCCAAGAGGAGTAGAGGAGGAAGGATTGCAGCATGGTCATCCCCCCTGGGGGGTGATTTCTCGCTTTCTGTCTCTCTGTCTCTGTCTGTCTGGCAAGCGCACGCGCCCTATAGCAAAAACCTCTAAAAATAAAAAAATAAAAAAATAAAAAATAAATGAATGAATGAAGATTAAATAAATAATTTTTAAAATCATTTGAATTAGCTGACAATATTTTAAAAATAGATTTCACATAAAAATGATAGTAATTTTATCCAAAGACCTCATCGCCTGCTAGTTTCTCTCTATTATTGCACATAATTAGGACGCATCAAATATTTGCCTAAATCCTGTGGAAATCTGACTTTGCAGATCCTGTTGTGTACTCTGAACTTGATATATCTGACACTTTACCTATTAAACTGAAAGCCTTTGACAGTCATGAAAATATTTTCTTTGTATATCCTCTACTACAATCGATTCTTAGCACATAATAGATTTTATTTACTTACTTACTTACTTACTTATTTATTTATTATCTATTTATTTGAAGAGGTTTTTGAGATAGAGTGCATACACTCGCCAAAGACAGAGAAAGACAGAGAGACAAAAAGTGAGAAATCATCCCTCGGGAGATAGCTATGCCACAATCCCTTCTCCTCCAGTCTCCTCTCGGGATCTTGGGCTCACACACACACACACACGCACAGTGAGTTTAAGCCACCAGGTATGGGACTCAAACCATAGTCAACTACATGGGAGTCCAGTGACGTAGCCATTATGCTAACTGCTATTTATTGGGCCTGGCAGGTGGCGTGGTGGTTAAGGGCACTGGACTCTCATCACATGGGTGACTGTGGTTCAAGTCCAGGACCTGGTGGCTTGCTTTCTCACTTTTCTTCTCTCTCTCTCACTCTGTCCCTCTTTGGTCAAATTAAAATAAATAAATAAAGTTAAGTAAAATAATTCTTTAGAAAAATTATTAAGAAATAAAAGCAAGCTACCCAGGTAGAACTGTTCCATAAACAAGTTGTAATAAGCTTGTTTATGGGACATTTCTACCTGGTTAGGAGTTTGCATTGAAGAGAAGAGATTAGAAATACCAATTTGATAATATTATTTGTATAGGAGGCTACTGAAGCCATGGAATTAGTAAGGAAATACAGATGAGTTCATAAGAAGATAAAAGGGGATATTGAAAGGAACCAAGAATGCTTTCATTTAAAAGTTAGAGAAAAAGGAATCAATGTGATAAACTGAAAACAGTCTAACATCCACAGAAAAGCAGACATTGAAGTTACAAAGTTAAAGAAAGAAAAGACTAAAAGGAATGCTTAACAGCCTCAAGATAAAAGAGAAGTCAGAGGTACAAACTTTTAAAAGGAAAATTTGGCAATTCAGAGACCACCAGACCACTGTTTTCTCTTGGAGAATTAGAACAGTATTATCTTTCCAGTAAGTAACCTCATGCTTTTTTGTATTATATGATGTAGCACTGTATAAGGTACAGACAATAAAATCTGATGGACATAAATATACACACCTTTAATAGCATGAAGGTTTTACTAGATATATTCAGAAAAATAAATTCCGAAAGCAGTAGAAAAATATTGAAAGAAAAACAATATACATTCATGGGCCACTTCATAACAGGCATAAATTCTGAGAAATAAACAGTTAGGTAGTTTCATTGTTTGAACATCATAAAGTGTACTTACACAAAATCAGATGGCATTGCTTACACAAAATCAAATGGCATTGCCTATTACACACCGAGATTACACACAGTACAATTTCAAGGGACCACTATCATACATGTAGTCCGCCATTGACAGAAATATCATTATACAAGTCTGTATAAAATAATTAAATGAAGTTTTCTCAAAAACGTCCTTAATATCAAATGCTTACCTGACACATTTGTTTTTCAAGTCTGTCAAGTAATAGTGGTGGAATAGTAATAACAACATTAGTTCCATCTAAAGCATGTTGGTTAGTAAGACTAAGAATTGAACTAACGACTTCTCTCTCTTTATCCAAAAAACTTAATGTTTCATTCACTGAAGCCCACAAAGACAAAACCTTTGAAAATAGAAACAAATGATAAAGTTCATATATAATCTATACATATATTAGTATAAATAAATATATGCTTATTCCTAGAAGTAAATGAAGTATTCCTGGAATGATCTCTTAAATAACTGCACCTTAATAGTTTAAAACAATTGATATTATTTCTGAAACTAAAGAATTTCTCAGGAGACTCTGGCTCACTATGACTTTCATAACAAATCTAAGAAATCTTATACTACCCGGATACAATGAATATTTCCTGTACTCTGGCATGCCACCAACCTAATGGAGATTTTTCAGGGAGAAATAATAAAAAAAATGTTCTCAAGAGAAAAAACTAGTACATATTAACTTTTAAGTCTTCAGATTTCAGAAAAGTTAAAATGTAGG